AGAGAACTTGGATATGATTTTCCACATAGTGGAAGAGTAGCAACTGCCATGATTTCTTTCTCGTTTTTTCTGCCCCTATGCAAATAAATGTAATGTGTGAAATTGAAGCTAACAGTTTACAGCCATTAGAGAAAGGTTAGAGTACTGTAGACATGTCAGCCCTGCAAATTTTAAGCCAGAGAATCAATTACAGGTGCTACCTTTATTCAGAGTTCTTAATATGTGAGGCAAAACGGACCCTCTACATCCAAGCTGTTGTTGCAAATGAAAGTATTCCTATCCTTCCTTTTGTTGAAAATGTTAGTGGCCCAAATCACTAATCTTTGTGTGAAGTGACAGAACAAAACCAGCTGACCACAGTTTGTTGGGGAATTCTGACTAAGCAAGATTATTTTAACCTAGAGAGAAAGGTAGCAGGAAGAACAACACAAAAAAGAGTGTGTAGACAAGCTAAGGCAGTTAAGTCAATGAGGGCCAAGACGATTATACAAATGTTAAAGTGTCATGTTGTTAGTGTTAGGTACCATCACATGAATTTTCAACTCATAGCAACCCCATGTGACGATAATCTTTTCTAGACTATAACACTTTTACAGACTGTATTCTTTACAGGAGCAGATTTCCAACTCTTTCTCCAGTGAAACCACTGGATGGGTTTAAACTGCCAACTGTCAGTGTTACAGAGAGAAAGAATTGAAAATTCCTTTAGAAATAAGAGCCAGAAAAAGCATTTCATAATGTTCTACTAAGTAAATCTAGTCTGAAATTTTACGTTATATAATTTCCTATCAGTAGTAGAAAAATACAACTTGAGAACTCATTTTTGATAGTTAAGTTTTTGTTCTTTTTTCCAAGAGAACTAATTTATTTATCTTATGCTTTCATTTCCTTAGTATTCTCAAAGACAGAATTTAAATCTGCCTATGATAATTGTTGCCACTTGCAGAATCTTTGAAATAATTATTAATAATCAAATCAATGATGATCGGGCTTCTTGTGGCCTACAGTCCCAGGCCTGCGCCCCACGCCACCCGCCCGCCCGCCAGGGAGCCCAACCCTGTCGCCCCCTGCCCAGATGCCATCCGCAAGGGCTGGTTCCAAGAGACCTGCAGCCTGTGACCTGGCCAGCCTTGTCTCTGCAGGGGGAGCAGCTACTACACCATCAGCACTTGCGATACCAGGACATCTTTGTCTTCCACAGTAAAACCTATGGCAATGTGCTGGTATTGGACCGAGTCATCCAGTGCACAGAGAGGGATGAGTTCTCCTATCAAGAAATGATTACCAAGATCATCAGTGAAAAAATAGGGACAAATGTGAGGGCACTAATTCAGGGCATATACAGGCTGTCACACATTTTGAAAAGTCCACAAACAAAAACAGACAAAATAGACGAGTGGGACTTACTAAAAATTAAAAACTTGTGTTCATCAAAAGACTTCACCAAGAGAGTAAAAAGAGAACCCACAGACTGGGAAAAAATCTTTGGCAACGATGTATCAGATAAGGGACTCATCTCTAGAATATATAGGAAAATACTACATATCTACAAAACTAAGACAAATAACCCAATTAAGAAATGGGCACAGGATATGAACAGACACTCACCAAGGAAGGGATCCGGGCAGCCAACAAACATGAAGAAATGTTCACGTTCACTAGCCATTAGAGAGATGCAAAGCAAAACAACAATGAGATACCATCTCACACCAGCAATAACAGCAAAAAAAAAAAAAATCTGAGGCCAATAAATGCTGGCAGGGATGTGGAGAGACTGGGACACTCCTGCGTTGTTGGTGGGACTGCAAAACGGTCCAACCTCTCTGGAAAGCAATATGGTGCTTCCTCAGAATGTTGAAAACAGAAATAGCATTTGATCCAGCAATTCCTCTACTTGGTATTTACCCACAAGACAAACGAGCCACAACACGAGAAGATATATGCACACCAATGTTCATAGCTGCACTATTTACAATAGCAAAAAGATGCAGACAGCCAAAATGCCCATCAACTGAAGAATGGATAAACAAGCTGGGGTACATACACACAATGGAGTACTATGCTACATTGAAAAATAACAAGGAAGCTGCATGCCACTTCCTAACATGGATGAACCTTAAGGATATTATGTTGAGTGAAATTAGTCAGTCACAAAAGGAAGAATACTGCATAGGATCACTACTGTAAAAGACTAAGAAAAAGAACCCATACTATCCCACTAAAGAGGATTCCTAGCAGGCTGCTAGGACGTAGGGGTAGGGTTAAGGGCGGAAGGGGAAGGTGGAGCACTGGGCAGGGAGTAGACACAGGGCAGTTTGGGAGGGGAGGTGGAGGCAATATTCAAGTAGGTAGAGGGGAATGGAAGAACAAAGCAGATGGGAGAACGACTAGACAGGTATGAAGGAGCTAAATGGGACAGAAGTAAAAAATGATGTAGGCCCAGCCTTGGAACAACAGGGGGTTCTGGGATACAGAGACTGGGATATGGTTGGAATGGGGAAAAGGGAGGAATAATGTTATGATGCTTGACTAACTTTTGAACCTTGGTTTCCCATACATTATATTATAAAACAGACACAGGAGGGGGGGGGAAAGGAATAGCCAGAGGTGTCACCATAGAAAGCTTGTGAGTCCGTCTTCTGCCTATAACTGATTGGAATACCTAAAATGGGACTACAAGGTATCCAGTGAAGGAGGATTCCTGAAGAGCCTCGGCAGTACAGAAGACTATAGATCAAAGCCTAACCACATCCAGACCTTCAGAGACGGGAAACCTTCCTCTCAAAAGGGCAAGCAGACCAGCCTGGAACAGCCAGAAAACTAGAAGACACTTCTTGAAAGAAAGACCTACAGGAAAAACACAGAACACTAAGGGCAGTCCGAAAGCTACCACAAGAACAAGTAGACTGCTAGCCCAGGAGACATCAAGGCAAGTGGACGGGTCCTCTCAGCACAGATCCTCTCCCAAGACTAAGACGCATTGGAAATACACGCTCTGATTGGCCACCACGCATGTCACCCATAAAGAGAAGTGGCCTAAGAACACCAATGAAGCGGCAAACTAAGCCCTGCATTGTTCAGCAGACTGTGAACCCGGGTGGAGACTCGGTTGCCCAGCAGCGAGGGGGGACCCGGGGACTCATGAGCTCAGAGTCAGTGAGGAAAAAACAGCAATGAAGTGGCAAGTTAAGCCCTACAATGTTCAATAGATTCCTGTGAACCTGGGTGGAGACCTGGTCGGCCAGCAGTGTCAGTGACACAGCCACAGAGGACTAGAGTGGAGAGTGAAATGTCCAGGTGATAAGAAGAGAGGGGATATGCACAAGAACACCCACACTTAAAGATAATACCCACTTGACCTGGCTTCAATGATTGGATGATCAGAGTTCAACCAGACAAAGAAAGAAGAGGAAAAAAAAAGTAATCTGAAACGATTTGATGAATTTGACCTACACCTATGGATGCAGCAGCTCTAAAGAGGAAACAAATCCTTACAGCAAGAATCATTCCCACCCCCTTCATACACAGAGTAGACAGGGATGGGCAAGTTGGACATTGGCTACCCAAGGGGTGGGGGGGGCTACAAAGGCAAGAAGTGACTGGCTTACAAGCTTTCAAGAGGGAACCTAGATCCAGAGGGCGTGGAGGAAGGTAGAATCTCCACTGTGTAGTATCCAATCTGTCTAGGCAGGGCTAATGAAATGAAATGCAGATAGGTCTCTTGTGATACAACAGTGAATAATTGTTATCAGGACTGATTGTGAGAGTTGGAAATGTAAAGGTAGACATTTTATAGGAAGGAGGGGAGTGATTAACTTTTCAGTCTAGGAGCAGAGGTCCCTAGGACCATCAATGGAGAAGAGCAGAGTGCTGGACCCTACTCAGAGAAGCAGTGATGCCTAAGATGGAGGCAGAGACGACGACGTGGAGAGATGGAGCAGCTGGGGATTTTAGATCCATAGAGAGAGAGGGGCTGTGTGCTGACGACTCGGGGGGTGTGGGGGGCAGGCTTGAAGGGTGTACCCTTTGGTTGGTTGATGATGCATGGAGGGGATTGTAACCATGGCAATGAAACGATATATGATAGAATGAATGTAAAACTAATGTTCTCCCATGTAAACTATCACATAATTCACAATAAAACAGTAAAAAAATAAAATAAAATACCTCCTCCAAAATTTATCCATTCAAAAGAAATTAATAAAATATGCTTATTTTAACTCATATATACACTGAACTGCATACCACAAGGTCCACAGTTTAAGCCCCGCCAGCCACTCCATGAGAGAAAGATGAGCCTTTCTGTTCCCTGGAAGATTTTAAACCTACAGAGGGTCGCTATGAGTAAGAACAGACTCCACAGCACTTAACAACAACATCACAACTAATTACAGTACAACTCAAGTTAAAACACCTATTTTCACTTTACTGTCTTAAAAACAATGCAATACACACATACAATGCTCTCTCTAATTCTAAACATAATAGCTTTCTCCTCCATGAAAATGCTTTGATGGTTTTATGCTACATCGTAGCTATTTTTCAATGATAACATCTATAAATTACAAAGGTGGTGTGTGTGTGTGTGTGTGTGTGTGTGATTTCAAAGTGAAATTCCTTGGAACTGCTTGAGTTAGCTTGAGCTAGAAAGAATACCAAATATGAAGAGGTTTCAAGATCATCTATCGCAATGGAACAGAATTTAATAAAGTTCCAACACAACATTTTAATGCCCCAATCTCTTATTGTCTTTTTCAGTTGACAGTAAGTGCTTCACAGCATACTAGCAGCCGCAGAACAGCTGGATGGCCGCATCAAGCACAAAGGGAGCAGCAGTGCACGCTGTTAACTGTCGTTCTGATTGCCTAGAAATGGCAGCACATGCAGATTGATTCCGTTATAAATTAGAACAATTATTTTTCTGGAGTTAACATTTTGTCCATGAAAAGAGTCCAACTTTCTGCACGCTTAAAAAAAAGAGAACTTTCAAAAAAGGATATCTTCCCTTTCTTTGATGATAAGTTCATTCTGTTCTTCCAACTGTCTAATCTTCTTCTCAAATGATTCCTGCTCGGCCTTTAGGCGTTCTTCTGTCACTTCCTTTTCCTCACTTACTCTGGAAAAATAATAATAAAAAGCTTGTTAGAATAAAAAAAATGAGCTCATAGCTACAATTTTACCAAAACTGGATTCTTCCATGGGCTTTTTCTTTTTTAAGTAAATCTTTTATAAAGTATCTTTCTCACATTTGTAATAAAATGTGCATGTAATTTTACATCAAGAATGTTTCCAATTATCAGAAGTCTCTACAAAATGGAAAGTTCTACATAGGACATAGGTACCCAATTATAATCCAGGAGAGAAAATTACTCAAAAATTTAAAGCACCGGTTTCACTTCTTTATTATCAAAATAGGGACAACAGCCAATTTATTTTGATTTAGACTTTTTTCATACTTGTAGTTAAAATTCTGTCAATGAAATAAACAACATATGAAGAGATTTCAAAAAATTCATGAAAAAAATTCCATTCACTTTTAATCCCATTTTCCTACAAACTTTTTTAAGCGCCTTCATATATATCTCTGAATTAATTCATTTTTTTCCTAACCCCTCATTTCTTGTTAGCATATAAATAATTGTACTTGAAAAAAACTATGTTACTCACATACACAATAAGCACTGGTCTGTGAACCACAAAGCTAGTGGTTCATGCCCGTCAGCCATTCTGGGAAAGAAAGATGAGGCTTTCTGCTCCCATAAAGATTTTTTTAAAACCTCAGAACCCCTATACAGGCTCACTATCAGTCAGAACCGACTCGATGATACTTAAAAGAAGCTTTGTACTATATTTATTCTTTATAAATTTATTATAAAGTTAAAAAATAACAAAAAAAACCCTGTATCATCAATGTTTAACACTGAAAAACATTTCTACTCAATCACACTAAGAAGGGGTGGTTTATATCAAGAGCACAGAAGGAAAAAAAAAATCTTTAAAACACACACAACAATAAATCTTATTTTTAACGTCACCAAGGCATATTTCAGCGCAATACAGAATTTCATTCAGCTCTGTGAGCAGAAATCGGAACCCTTCATTTTGTTGTTACTGCTGCTGGTTTCTCTAAAGAGGGCACAGTACATTCATCCTACATCATCAGACAGTGGCATGAATAAGTGACATCCACACAGAATCCAAATCTTTTCTGTACACTCCTAAATTTACTGCCTCCCCATTTTACCAGAGCAGCTTCTGAATACCATAAACCCCACAGGTTCCTCCATTGTTTATTGGCATGAATGATCAAATGAAAAATTAAATTTTGAATTTTCAAGAACTGAATGCATTTTGTTCTAAAAATAATTAGTGTGGAAACACATAGCACACAGTGGTGCTCAATAAATGGGGTTATTTCTCCTTGCTCATCATGGCATTCAGTCATTTCCTCAGACCCTATTTTATGGTGTTTAGCATATTACTGATTATCTCTAGCATCTGGCCAAGTCAAAATACAGGGGTATACCCTAACAGTTATATATACACCTTTTGCTGGACCTGAAGGAGATTCATGAAAACGCCCAGGGATTGGTGAAGTAAAAACTTTGCAGAAGTGTATCCCACAATGCCAGAGTACTTAAAGGTGCTATCTAGATAAAATCACTCATTCCTAACTTTAGTTGTTGCCACATTATTAAACAATGCTTTTCTATCTTTTAAGAACCTTTTCTGTTATGTTGCTATAGTTAAACGCTGCTGCATGCCATCAAGTCGATTCCAACTCATAGGGACCTAGTACAGGGTTTCCAAGGCTGTAAATCTTTATGGAAGTAGAAAGCCTCATCTTTCTCTCATGGAGCAAATGGTGGATTTGAACTGCCGGATAGCAACCCAACTTGTAACCAGTACCACCTTTAAATGAAAAGGATCTACTAAAGGAATCTCAAGATTTGACATCTATAGGCAGTGCCCAGGGCACAAACAAGATTTGTTTCTAACTATGCCTTTAAGACTTTCTAAGTAAATCAGAAAAGGCTCATATAGCTTTTAGTCTTACTTTAGTGCAAGAAAAGGTCCAAAGTCTTTTCAATGATTTAAAACTGCCAACTGCAGAAAGTGAAGGTTATAGTAATGAAGTACTTGTGAGTTGGGGTTGGTTCAACTGCTTGAAAGTGAGGCCATCTTACCTTACAGGAATGAGTTGCCAGGAAACTAGAAGACTGCCTGTACTCTAAAATTTTTCTTATTTTATATCCAATAAATTTCCTACAAGGTACATGACCTACCTTGTTCATCAAAGCATTTGTAAATCACAAAGTAACATAAAAAGACCTAATTCTTTATATGATTTAGAGTATTTCAAAACGTTGTTGTTGTTAGGCACTATGTCAAGTGAGTTCCAACTCACAGTGACTCTATGTATAACAGAGCAAACCTGTCCAGTCCTGAGACATCCTCACAATCGCTTTTACATTTGAGTCCATTATTGCAGTCAATGTGTCCATCTATTCCATTGGGGAAGGGGAGGTCTTCCTCTTTTTAGCTGACCTTCCATTTACCTAGCATGATGTTCTTCTCCAAGGACTAGTCCCAACTGATAATGTGTCCACAGTATGAGAGAGAAGGTCTCGCTATCCTGGCTTCTAAGGAGCATTCTGTTCACACTTCAACACAAATTTGTTGTTCCTCTGACACCTATGGTACTTTCAATATTCTTCTCCTACTCCACAGCTCAAATACTTTGATTCTTCTATAGTCTACCCTATTCAATGTCCTACTCTCACAAGCATTTGAGGTTACAGAAAATAGAATGACTTGGGTCAGGTGTACCTTAGTCCTCAACCTAACATCTTTGTGATTAAACACTTTAAAGAGGTCTTGTGCAATAGACTTGCCTAATTCAATATGTCACTTGATTTCTTGACTGCTGGTTCCACGAGTGTTGATAGTAGATCCACGCAAAATTAAGTCTTTGACAACTTCAATCTTTTCTCCATTCATCATGGTGTTATCTATTGGTCCAGTTGTGTGGGTTTTTGCTTTTTATACACTGAAGTGCAATCCATTCTGAATGCTGTGATCTTTGATCTTCATTATATTTCAAGCCCTCTTCACTTCCAACAAGCAAGGTTACATCATCAGCACATCGAAGGTTGTTAATGACTCTTCCTTCAATCTTGATGCCATGCTATTCTTCATATAATCCAATTTCTTAGATTATCTGCCCAGCATACAAACTGAGCAAGTATAGTGAAGGATACAACCCTGATGCAAACCATTCCTGATTTTAAACCACTTACTACCCTCTTGTTCTGTTTGAATGACTACCTCTTAGTCCATGCACAGGTTCATCATGAGCACAATGAAGTGTTCAAGATTTCCCATTTTTCGCAATGCTATCCATAGTTTCTCATGATTCACACAGTCAGATGCCTTTGCACAGTCAATAAAGCATAAATAAACATTGGTGTTATTCTCTGCTTTCAGCCAAGATCCATCAGACATCAGCAATAATATCCCTTGCTCCACATCCTCTTCTAAATCCAGCTCAAAATTCTGGCAGCTCCCTGTTGATGTACTGCTGTAACCATTTTTGAATTCTCATCAGCAAAATTTTACTTGCATGTGGTATTACTGCCATTTTCCAATGATTTCCACATTCCATTGGATCACTTTTCTTTGTGCACAAATATGATCTCTTCCAATCAGTTGGCCATACATTTCTTGGCATATACTAGTGAGGGCTTCCAGCACTGCATCAATTTGTTGAAACATTTCAATTCCTGGAGCCTCATTTTGACGAGTGTCTTCAGTGCAGTTTGGACATCTTCCTTCAATAACATTGGTTTTTGATTATATGCTATCTCTTGAAATGTATGAACATCGAGCAATTCTTTTTGCTACAGTGGCTCTGGGTATTCCTTCCATCTTCTTTTGATGATTCCTGCATCATTCAGTAATTTCCCCATAGCTGTTGTTGGGTGCCACTGAGTCGGTTCTGACCCATAGTGACTCTGTATGGGATTTCTGAGGGTATGAATCTTAATGGGAGCAAGAGGCCTCACCTTTCTTCTGTGCTGCAGCTAGTGGGTTTGAGCTACTGATCTTTTGATTAGCAGTACAGTCCAGCACCATCTGCACTCATTTTACCCATGTTGTTGTTGTTAAGTGACGTAAAGTTGGTTCCAACTCATAGTGACGCTGTACAGGGTTTCCAAGAATCAACTGGTGAGTTTGAACCACTGACCTTGTGGTTCAATCTGACCTAGTGGTCCAATGCTTTATCCCACAACACTACACCAGGAGTAGAATACTTCAATATTATAAACAGAGGCTTGTATTTTTTACATCAGTTTTTTCAGCTTGAGAAATGCTGAGCGGGTTCTTCCTTTTGGGTTTTGAACTCCAAGTCTTTTGCACATTTCATTATAATACTTTACTTTGTATTCTTGAGTTGTCCATTGAAATTTTCTGTTCAACTCTTTTATTTCATCATTTCTTCTCGTCACTTTAGTTTTTTTTATGCTCAAGAGCCAGTTTCAGAGTCTCTTCTGACATCCATTTTAGTATTTTCTTTCTTTCCTGTCATTTTAATGATCTTTTGCTTTCTTCATGCATGATGTTCTTTATGTTATCCCACAACTCTCCTTGTCTTCAGTCATTAGTGTCTAATGCATCAAGCCATTTCTTGAGATGATCTCTAAATCCAGGTGGGATATACTGAAAATCATTATTTTGGTTCTCATGGATTTTTAAATTTTCTTCAGCTTCAGACTGAACTTGTATATAAGCAACTGATAGTCATTCCCCAGTTGGCCCCTGGCCTTGTTTTGTCTGATGACATTGAGCTTTGCCACCACCTTTTCCCATAAAGGTAGTCAATTTGATTCCTGTGTTCTACCTGGTGAGATCATGTGTATTGTTGACATTTAAAAGGCTAGTGAACAAATAAGAATTTAAACAGATAAATAGGAACTATTTGACAACTGGGACAAAAAGGTTAAATCCTTGAATAGGAAGAAATCCCCACTGTATAATATACTATGTTAGGTTGCCAATTATTTACTGGAAAGGCAATAGCGTATTTATAAAACAATCACCATTGTCAGCACTTAC